CAATTATACCTGAGGGCGATATGCCTAAGCCTCAGCTGAGTATCACGTATCTGCCCTGCAACGAAGCTGACTTTCCGGAAGAGGCGGCTGTGTTGTTGAGGGCACAAAATGAAGGTATCTATACGGAGCTTTGGAAAATCTTCCGCCGCAGGGACGAGTGGAATCGGTTGTTAGTAACCTTTTCCCTGGACGACGATTGGCGGAGGCAATCCGTGCAGTAGGCGGCAGAGTCGCCCTTGGTTTTAAGATAATAACTTTTAAGATTAGGGACGGCTCTGACGCAGCAATGGAGCCTGAACCGCCTCAACTCCAATCCCCCCAGCCGTCCGCGTGGCGGGGTGAGCCCGGAACTTAGTTAGTGAAAGTGACTGTGACCCAAGGCGCTGACCTCGCCTCGGGTCGAAGGCCTCCGCCGGTGTCGGCCAGGGGTAAGGGAAAGGTAGGTGGGAGCGGTAGAGGGAATGATGTGGTGGGGGTCAAGAGCGCCAGTAAAGGACGTTTTGTCTTCAGCAGGCGAAAACGATCCCCCCCCACGCCTATATATGGCTTACCCTAAGGTTAGAACGAGAATCCTCCAGGCAAATCTTCACCATGCAGCAGCTGTTTCTGCAGTGGTAGAGGTTTGCTTTGCAGAGGACAACATTGACCTCGCCCTTACACAAGAGCCTTGGGTGGCTAAACGGTCAAGTTCTGGGATTGTCGGCTGTTAGTAAGATCTTAATCAATACTTAAGGCAGTAGACCCAGAGCTTGTATGATTTACAATAAAGATATTGAACTTTTAACTCTGCCAGAAACCGATTTGGATGGGACTTTCACTGATATTATAAGGAGTAACTTAGGCTACTTTTATTTTAGGGTTCTGGGTAAAAAAATTACACGCGGGCAAAGTCGCGGTGAACAGCTAGTCCTTCATATATCTCAAGGGTTGACTTCATATATCACAGGGGCCAGAGTATACATTAGCCTAGCCTATCTTCTCGGAGAGAACACGGATGCTGCCCTCGAGTTAAGTAACTCACCTCTTTCATTGATGTTACTTTATGATCTCCTCATCTCCAATCGCCTGATAAGCCTAAACTTAGGGTGAACAACAACCATTGCAAGAAGTGTTAGATATGACCTTTGTTACTAATAACATATCCAGGCGAATAACTGACTGGCATGTTAGTAGTGAAAATGCGATGTCTGATCACAAACACATTAAGTGTGTGGTTAGAGCATCACCACCTTATGAAACTGTTGCTTTTAGGGATCCAAAAGCGACCTCCTGGGAAGTTTATAGAGATAGTGTATGTAGGAATTTAGAGACGTTTCCTAAGAGCATCAAAAGGATTAAAGATCAGGGGTTAGCGACGGAGACTGTAACCGTAGGTATCCATGAAGCCTTTAAAGTCAGTTGTCCGTCAAAACCAAGACCTCAACACGAAAAGTTCCTTGGTGGAACACTAAGCTAAAGGAGTTTAGAAAAAAGACCCGTAAAACTATTCAATAGGGTCAAGAAAAACTAAAGAGTGTTAGTGCGGCTCTAAGCAAATATAATAAAGAAATTGGGAAAGCTAAGAGAGCATCGTGGAAGAAGTTGAAGGAAGTTGAGTCTTTGCCTCCCAGTGCAAGGCTACACAAGTGTGTAGTGTAGTGAAGTTATCACCAGGCTTCTTAAAAAGCCTGATGGTAACTTCACTACTAGCGAAAGTTCCCAGGGTCACAGAAAACATTTGCCTCGAACTCTTTCAGAGCCCTTGGACTTATAATGAGGACTGGTGTATGGCTGCAAAGATAATAAGGACAAAGCTGGTGCAGTGGGATTTTGACTCTTTTAAACCATATAAAACAAGCGGGTAGGATGGAATAATTCCCATCCAACTACAGAGGTAATCCATATCCTTCTTTCTTATCTGGTTAAAATCTTCAGAGCAAGTTTTGCATGGGGATATACTCCAGAACGATGGACAATCGTCAAAGTTCTACTTATACCTAAGGCTGGTAGAAAGAACTACGCTTTACCAAATTCCTTTAGACCTATAAGCCTATCATCCTTTCTTCTCAAAACATTGGAAAACGTTATAAATAGATATATTAGGGATGTAGCTCCGGCTACGAGGCCCATAAATTACAACCAGCATGCTTACCGCAGGGGCAAATCTACGGAAACAGCCCTAATTAGTGTTAATAACAGTTGACAGGGTCGAAAAAGCGCTGGGCGATAAATAAATAGCACTCTGTGTCTTTTTAGATATTGAGGGCGCCTTCGACAGTAGCTCCACATTACTGCTGATTGGGGGCCTGACAGCAAGTGGGTGAAGTCTATGCTCTTAAACAGAAAGGCAAAAATAGCACTGTTTCAAACTTCGATAGAGGTTGCAACTACATGAGGTTGCCCACAATGTGGTGTTATGCTTTATACACCGGCTGTGCCTATATATCTCGGGAAAACGTCACCGAGTACCGGAACAAACGTGTGTCTGAGGTAGAGTCTTTTCCGGATAAGGTCTCGGATTGGGGCGACTAAATCTAATTAAGTTCAATGCCCAAAAGACACAAGTTTGCGCGTTTACCACTAAAAAAAACCCCTTTGTCGTAACTCCCCAATTTCAAGGCACCCCCTGTTACCTCAGCCAATATCAATGGTAATAAATGAAAACTGCATATTATATTGCCCCATGTAAAGTAAAAAAGTAGCAGCTTATATACATGTTACTACTGGGCACAGGCCGCAGAGAGTTTTTGGCCAAAAAAGTATTCGCTGCGCTGATTCCAACGCGAGATGACCTCAACTGGTAAAGTGTGGTAAACCGACACTTTAAATTTCAATTCAAATATATGCTAAAATATATAATAATAATGCTTACGTACCATGAAATTTAAGTTTTAATCACTTTGATTACCGCCATTGACCAGTAAAATAAAATAAGACCTTTGTAGTAAAATATTCTTTAAAGATAAAAAAAGTAAAGTAGCAGATAATATACGTCTCACTACTATGCACAAGGCTCCTCATTGCCTATAGTGTTTTGTGGGTAGAAAAATAGAGTATGCTGCAATACTTCAATGCACATTAACGGTTTTCAAATATCCACGACTATTTTAATTACTCAGACATCCAGGTTTCTTATGTTTAATTTTCTATAACAGATTTATCCTCGAGGGAATCGTACACGTTTTGCTCCCGTGCCATGATGAAATCTCACGGTGAGCTACACGAAATATCATGAAATAGCAACGTTGTGTTAAGTTATTAATATGTTCCAACGATTTCTATTCATTGATTTCGTCAAGCTATATCATAACATGGTCAATAAACAATCATGAAATGACCACATCATTCACGAAAGGATAGACTACTTTATGATATATGATCAATTCTACGATCTGGCGACGACATATTATATAAAAATCAATTTAATGAAACTATAATGATAATGATTATGAAAATTTTGCAATAATTGCAGACAGACAAGTTTTAATCACTTTACATTAGATTAGTAATTGAAATAAAAACCTTATTACTTTTAATATTTTTGATAAACGTCACTATTATCTATTGAAGTTATTACACTTTTAAAATAAAATAACAAAAATACTAAAAACTAACCGTTAGAATTTTTAAATAATCATTTATATTATTTAATTTATTAGTAACTGAAAGCAAAATATACTACTTTTTCCATTTGATAATAGATGGCACTGTTTTAATAACTAAATCGGTGTAGTTTCAAATTATTTTACCAAGGTTACAAAAACTTTATTTATAAATATGGTATTTATTTGAAAAATACCGTCATCCGCCTTTAACTAAGATATAACAGAAAATTAACATCTAAAGGAAGGAACATACTTAACCTTCTTTTTTTAGAGTTCCGTAATCGGATAAAAAGTAGCCTATAAGTTGCTCATGTTACTAACTACCTACAGTATACAAATTTCATGTGAATCGGTTTTAGTATTTTTGCGTGAATCCGGAATACACAGACAGACAGACAAACATTTTAAAAACCACTAATTTGGCTTCAGAACGCTTTATTTAGTCCCCTGGACTTGTTTTTTCAAGAATATATTAGAATTACAGACACGATTTTTCTACAGATTTATTACATGTATAGATAAAATAAATAATAACGAATTTCGTGGAAATATCGCTACTACTTTCTAGTCCCTTGTAATTAAAATGTAATAGGATTAATTAAAACAGAACTCATCTAGGAGTAATTAAAATTGGAGGTTTAAAGCAAACATGAAAGCCCATACAGAAATTCAGCAGTTTCAATTTGCCTACTCAGCATCTCCTGTGCTCTGTATTCAGAATATTCTGTTGACGTGGACATCTTGGTTGGTCTCGTCACCCGTAACACCTTCCTCCTCAAGTTCGAAGTTCTCATTTACAGGAGAACTAAATTTAACAAGTTTAAATGATTTTTATGAACTAAGACACAGGTTATAATAATTAATAACAGTCCGTACAACAATGGTCCATTGCTAACACTTAATCACCAGAACACGTTTCATTTTCACTTTTTCTTAATGCAACTGACAGAAGTTTGAGATCCGTAAGGTCTATTCCGAGGCTGCCATCTCAACAGTTAAGTTTATTACTCTGTATATTTTGCTGACGCAGGCATTGGGTCTCTCCACCCGTAGCAATTTATGGGGAAGGCCTAAGTTCAGCAGTGGACTTTGATAGGCTGATAGGTTTTGATGTTTTTGTTGTTGTTCGATTCATTTACGGCACTGTAGCACATAACGGCGCCACCAACATGCTTGTATCCAGTAGTACCACTACTAAAAGGTGCACTTATTGTATGAAAGGACAAAAATTAATTCAGTGAACGATTGGCAATATACATAAATAAAGTATATTTATTTAATACGCGAAATAAATTTTATTAATGATCATTGAAAAAATTGATATCAATCAAATGGTAAATAAAAAATGACTTTCAATAAGTATTATGTAATAATCAATATTGAATAAAAAATTATTCTATTCTATTCTATTCTATTCTAATCATATTTAATTAATACAGATAATATGTGCGGGAACAGATATTTGTCAATATTTCGTCCCCATACCATGTCAAAGTGGTTGAGCTTCTTCCCTGATAATAGGTGGTAGTCCACAACGCTGGGCAACATGTTCCTTAAGAGTTGCGTATCTCCTATTGTAGATATACCGTCGTTGTCACTCAAAAAGAGAGCTATTTTCATTCTCACTTTTCGTAAATCATACTTTGGTGGAGAGCGGGCATTGTACAGAGCAAGGTTTTGTTTTGGACCGTAGTCATATTGAGCAAATTTCCTGCGTAATGCAACTTGACTGACATGCACTATGTTCTTTCTGGACGTGCTGGAAGGATAGTTGGCAAAGATGTAAGGTAAAAATTCAGGTTCTATTTCAGGTTTTAATTCATCCGGATGATTTCCACCAATTTCGAAAAATAAATCTTGTATACAGAGCTCATAGCCTATCCCCTTTCGACTACATAACATTTGAAATAGACGTTTTATCAAAGAGTCATCATTTAACAATTCTTCCATTCCAATAGAGCGTAACAAATAGCCGACAGATGGCACCATCGCCAATAAGGAGGATGTGAGTGGTTTCAAGTGATGTAGAAAACAAACTGGCGCGAGTGCTATCATTACCTTGATCTTGTCATTATACTCGGGCCTTGTTGATCCCAGCACATAAAATATTGTATTGCCTTGGGAGTAACCTATAGCGCTCAGCTGCCGCTCCTTTGTTCTTTCTAAGACGTAATCTATCGCTGCTGGAAGGTCATAATATCCCATTTCGTGGAAACTGAAGTCCCAGAATTTCAAGTCAAGATCAGGATTCAGGTGAACATGATTTCTAGAATGTATGATTCCTCTTGGGTTAAGAGCCCATACATCGTAGCCATTGTTGGCAAGAGTTATTGCTAAGGATTTATTTCCTCTAACTATAAATACTTCAACGTCTTGAATCATCCCAGGTAGCAGAAGAACTGGCCTAGTCCTGTCGCCAGGGATGTGATACATTTTCAAAATATATCCATCGTCTGTGATTACATCCAGCTCGTCCACGTGGTGCCCGTACTTTGAACCTAATGCTGAGAATGTGAAATTTCTGTCACCAATCATCTTCATAGGAATGGAATGGCCTTGAACACTAATGTACATTATGTAAAATGAAATTATAATAATGTAATTTTGATCTATCATTTTTTTAGGTTTTGATTAATTTTAAATATATAGGATTAATTTTAAATATATAATATAAATTTTAAATTCGAGCTACTCCTATGTTATTTATCACGCAACTGAATACATTTAACAAATAATTACGTATTTATGGAAAATACGTTTACTAAAGATCCTTGGAAACCAAAGAGTGAACGCATTAACTATATCCAATAGGCGAATTAATATGCTAATTTTCAGTAACCTTTTTTAATTAACTTTATGATAATTATATTAAGATTGTTATCTATAGAGATAAAATTATTAGTTTATTGTGATAAACGAAAAGTGTGGTGTACAAGAAGACGCTATATGTTAAGAAAGTGTTGCTTTGGTGGTTTGCATACGTAAAAAGTATGATTTTTTTTTATAGGATAAGGGTGACAAACGAGCACACAGTCCACCTGATGGTAAGTGGTTGCTGTGGCCCATAGACATCTACATCTATCCTCGATTACGAATCAAAATGCAGATGCGTTGTCACCCGTGAGGACTAAATGAAATGCCTCGTTTTCAGTAAAAAGGGTATCCGGTTCTCTACACTCGCCATACGAAACACAGCAGCATTAAGCTGCTATTTTACGCTGGTATTCTGTGAGAGCGTGGTCCTTACTCGGTCGAGCCGACCCATTCATGTTATAACTATACCAGAAATATAGCTGCAGCATGGCTCTATCACGTAAAAATGATATGAATGCATGAGAAAAGAGTCACAAAACACCTTCAGAAATGAGTCGGCAAGTCAGCAGATTCGGCAAGGGACGCCCTAGATGGAAATTTACCGACTGAATTTTCGATATATTGAAGATGGGCCAAGTTAAGAGCCAAGTCCACTAACCGACGAGTATGTATGTGTAGATATATGGATGTGAAATAAAAGAAGCTAGAGAAGTGTGTCAGGATCGTGACATATGAAAATACGTATTCTCTGCCTATTCCACTGGGTTACAGGTGAGAGAGTTTGTGAATTATGAATTATGTAGTTAAATATTAGTTGGTCTAGTTACTTAGTTATAACTGGATAATATTCAGCTTGAGTTAGATGATTTCGCTAGTAAACCGTTTTCATAGTCTAATATTATGAGGTGTACAACTATATGGATCGTCCACGTAGAAAATCCGGAAGTTTTATACTATTTCCGAAAGACCACTTCAACCAAATTTAACAGATTTTTTATAGAGTAATGGTGACATATGAACACAAAGTTCACCTGATAGTAAATGGATCCTGTGGCCCACAGACAGTTAAGAATCAAACTGCCCCTGCAGACTAAGATAGAATGCCTCGTTTCCAGTAAAAAGGGTCTTGGGTTCTCTACACTCATCATACGAAACACAGCAGCACGGTTTATGAGCCAACTTCAAAAAGGAGGAGGTACTCAATTCGACTGTATGTTTTTTTTTTGGTGTATTACCTCATAACTTTTTTTCGGTGATCCGATTTCAATGAATCTTTTTCTATTTGAAAGCTAGTGGTTCTCATGTAGTACCACATAAATTTTATCAAGGTCTTAGTAGTAGTTTTTGAGTTACCCTTAATAATTTATATTGAAGTCGGTTGTACAAAATTATTAATTTTACCACAATATCTCAGAAATGAAAAGAGACCTATCGTCAGCTGTGGGACATATAAAGGTTTTAATAGGCTACCTTACTTTACTTCCTTAATAATATTATTACACAAATATGACTAACACTCAGTAATTGCATCTTGATGTCATGACATTTTAATAAAGTGCGACCTGCCCTTGACTTCGCCTCGGTGGGATCTATTAATGTGGCGTGATTGAGACTTAACATAATCAAAGACTATTTATTTGTATATAAAAAATTAATTTTTTTTAAGAAAATTCTCGAAGTATTTCGGAGAAAATATAGCCCTAGATCATTCCTGATATAACTCTGTTCGTAAAGTTTCATTACAATCAGTTCAGATATTCAGAAGATAAGGGCGAACAGACAGCCAGAGAGATAGGCAAAAATTATAACAGTGTTAGATTAGATAAGGTTAATGTGTAAGGGAAATGCGGCTCTATTATGCTGGAGCCACAGTAACGAGAAACGTCAATGCCCATAAACGCAACAATTATTGCCTTAATATTAATGCGATAAAGTGAGTGGCCACACTTGGAACGGTCAACGTCATTTCAATTTCAATTTTTTTTTATAGGAGAGGGGGCTAACGAGCATGCGGCTCACCTGATGGTAAGTGACTACCGCCGCCCATGAACAACTGCAACACCAGGGGAATTGCAGATGCGTTGCCGGCCTTTTAAAAAGGAGTAGGCTCTTTTCTTGAAGGTCCCTTCAATGCCGTTGAACGGCGTTAAAGTTGGCGTTAATGTTCCTCGAATATATTTATTCTTATTATATGAATGTATTTTATCATATTATATTTTTTTATATTTATTTAAGTGGGTTCTGTAATAAACCATTATTTGGATTTCTTTCTTCTTTGTAATTTCTTGGATAGTTGTTTTAAAAGGAAATAATTGCACTATTCATCGCCAAGCATCATTTTGCGATGAACAATTCTTAAAACTTTTGAGTCTCGGATCCCACAAACATAGCTATGTTTGCAGAATTTCAAATGTAAGAATTTCTTCATTATTCCACTCCATAGCCATACGTGCGATTCCGTTGCGCTCATCGTGCACAATGAGACAAACGTAGTGTGGCCGCTTCAACGCGTTAATTCGTGCGTTAATCTCTTTGATGTACTGCCACTCGAGTTATCGCCCAACGGCAAACGGCATTGTTCATGTCGTTGTAAACACCTACATTCAACGCCCATCAACGCGATAATTAACGGCAATTCTCGTTAGTGTAGCCCGGGCATTAGAAACTATTTTCGTTTTGCATAAGAGGGCCATAAGAGATATTTACAACCTAAAACCGAAAGACTTTCAAAGAAAATTTTTAAGAAATACTAGGTTGATCAACAAGTTTTCAGAATGAGACACTTATCAATGAGTTATAGAAATGCGTTCTATTTTTTTTTTTCTAATTTTAAATTCGTTAGTAGCCAAGGCCATAAATAACAACATTAAAAATTATACCCAATTTTTTTACAAATTTCATATTTGGCGGGAGTTTGATTCGTATGCAAAATAGACAAAGCCGAACTTCGTGCAGTTAAATATTACTGAATGATTCTTTTTTCAAAAAGTTTTTTTGAAGAACAGTAATATTTGCCAGATAATACTCCGTCTTATTCTACAGTGGCATACTGGTGATTGGTGCGATGAATTTAATTATATTAAATTACTCCCAAGGCGTAGTCCCGAATTCATCGAAGACAGCTTTGGTCCACCCGATCCCTAAAAAAGGCGACCGCTCAGACCCGTCCAACTACAGGCCTATCGCCATCACCTCCTTGTTCTCCAAAATAATGGAATCCATTATAAACTGCCAGCTCATGAGCTACCTTGAGCATTATTGCTGATTACTGACCGGCAGTACAGTTTTCGTCGGGGTCGATCAGCTGGTGATCTTCTAGTCTACCTGCCTCATAGATGTCTATGATCTGTCTGATGATGTGTGTGAGGAGGCAGTAGAGTCCAAGGGGGAGGCATTGGCTGTTAGTTTGGACTTAGCGAAGGCCTTCGATCTGGTCTGGCACAAAGCGCTTCTTTCAAAGCTCCCTTCCTATGGGCTCCCCAAGAAATTGTGCAAATGGATCACCAGTTTCCTTGCTGATCGGAGCATCAAGGTCGTAGTAGACGGTGCATGCTCTGATTTTAAGTCTATCAATGCTGGTGTTCCACAAGGCTGCGTGCTATCATCAACGCTGTTTCTCCTGCATATCAGTGATATGTTGCAAACTGGTAACATTCATTGCTATGCAGACGACAGCACTGGTGATGCCTTATATACCGGCCGTGCCAATATTTCTCGGGAAAACGTCGCCGAGTTCCGGAACAAACTTGTGTCTGAAGTCGAGTCTTTGCTGAACAAAGTCTCGGATTGGGGGCGACGAAATCTAGTCCAGTTGAATCCTCAGACGACACAAGTTTTCGCGTTTACTGCTAAAAGGAACCCCTTTGTCGTATCTCCTCAGTTTCAAGGCACTCCCCTTGCTGCCTCAACTAGCATCGGAATCCTCGGCGTCGACATATCGAATAGTGTGCAGTTTCGGGGCCACATGGAAGGGAAGGCCAAATTGGCCTTTAAAAAGCTTGGCGTGTTCAGCAGAGCGATACAGTATTTCATGCCGGCACATCGCTTGCAACTTTAAAAAGCGCAAGTTCGGCCTCACATGGAATACTGTTCTCATCTCTGGACCGGGGCACCTCAGTGACAACTCCTTCCACTTGACCGCATCCAGCGCAGAGCGGTTTGAATCGTCAACTACCGAGTTCTTTCTGATCGTCTTGATACACTGGCACTGTGTAGGGATGTTGCATCCCTTTGCATTTTCTATGGAATTTACATCGGGGAGTGTTCTGAGGAATTGTTCGGATTAATTCCAGCCGCCAAATATCACGACGCACATCGCGTCAAAATTCACGGTACGATCCTCAACATCTGGATGCTTGGCGGTCCACGACTGTGCGTTTTACTAGGAGTTTTCTTCCTCGTACAACTTCTCTGTGGAATTGTTTACCACCGGCGATTTTTCCGGACCGATACGACTAGGGACCTTCAAAAAAAATGCTTACACCTTTCTAAAAGGCCGGCAACGCATCTTCAATTCCCCCGATGTTGCGGTTGTTCATGGGTGGCGATAGTCACTTACCATCAGGTGAGCCGCATGCTCGTTTGCCCCCTCTTCTATAAAAACAACGTGCAATGACGACACACTCTCCGGGCGGCCGCAATGCAAGAAAACGTTGAAAATTCGAAGAAATTATTAAGGCAGATCGACGTGTGATCCGTCATTTGATGAGATTCTAAAGTTTTTGTTTGGGAACATTGAAATAATATTATAATTCAGTTTATTTTATTCATACCTTAAAATTCAAAAAGGTGGCCGCCCGCTGGGTTCCCTGAATGTTAACAGATGACCAAAAGTATGCAAGAATTAACATTTCAAAGCTAAATTTAGTAATCATTGAAGAAGATCCAGATTGTTTTTGCGCTAGTTTCGTAACCGTAGATGAAACGTGGGTACACCACTTTGAGCCGGAGCAGAAAAACCAAAGCAAGGAGTGGAAAAGACCGCCGCCAGCCAAGACATTCCAGGTGTCTGCATCCGCCGGAAAAATAATGAACTCTCTCTTTTGGGATGTGGAAGGTATAATAACGATCGACTATTTAAGTAAAGGAGAGACAATAACCAGAGAATATTATGCATCATTGATCAAAAGCTACGCGAAGAACTAAAGAATAAACGTCGAGGAAAATTGCGTGCTGAAGTGCTTTTTCAACATGATAATTCTTCTGCTCATCCATCTGATGTTGCACGTGCTGCCATCCGAACTGCTGGGTTTCAGTTAATGAAGCTCCGACCATATTCTCCGAACCTAGCTCAGAGTGATTTTAACCTTTTTAATCACCTGAAAAAGCACTTGCGTGGTATAAAATTTGACGGTGGTGTGTGCTGTAGAAGCCTTTTTCGAGTCCCAAAATCAAGCCTTTTTCCCAAGGAAATTAACTAATTTGTGAAAAAGGCAATAATTATTAATTACGTTGACAAATAAATGCAATTTACATATATACTTATCCTAGAGTTTCATTACGTTTCCAAAAAACTTATTGATCAACCTAGAATAGATTTGGCCTCTCAGTATTTACGAATATTTAAAAAAAATTGTTTTTATTAATAAAAAAATATAGTTTTTATTTTTAATAAAAAAAATTAGTTATTATTGTAAAGAGGGGCACTGTTTGTGGCCTCAACAGATTTCCACTTCTTTGAAGTTTTGAGAACTATTTGATACTTACCCAAAAGTTTCAATTCCGAAGGAGCAGTAAAGAACGCCTTCGATCTCGCGCAGCCGACTTCTATGGCAAGTATATCAAAGAAATTGCCAATAAATTGGCAAGAATGTGTTGATTGTATAGGTAAATATTTTGTTTATTAACTTTTAAAAAATTACCTAATTTTTATTATTTTTATTTTCCGATTCCCGCATTTACTACTCTTGGTTTGTTACTAAATCCTTATCCGTACTCATATATAAATAGCATGTAGATAAACCACCTGAGCTAAAAAGAAGCTAGTTATATCTATATTACAGACAGGCACCTTTACCTATACCAAAACTATGCAATAATGGTACCTCTATAATTTTACCGCACTTCCCATTTCTTTCAGTGAGAGCGTCGGAGATGAGACTGCTTACACAACCTTGTCAGGAAACCGATAAAACCGTTGCATCTGTCCTGAGGACGACACATCCCAACTAATAAAGAATGCTTGCATCACCGACTTACGCAAAAAACATATCTTCATGCATCCAAGTTCCAGTCATTTTGAAAGCTGTATAATAGTGCAGCTTATACAATCTTACGGACGGATTATATAAACTAAGGAGTATACTTTCAAGGCAGAAGATTCATTGATCATTGAACGATAACTGTGCAGAAAAAATCAATGATATTAATCTCACAAGGAACCCTGTGGATATTTAAAGCATTTCATCCCTTATCCCAAGAGATAAGTTTATTGCAGGTAGATTAATTACAGGTAATAATTAATCTGCTGGCAATAATCTTATCTTTTGAGATGTTAGCCCCGGTGCAGATTAACCTCGAAGTAATAGATATTATGGCCATAAAATTTCTGTCATTTGTTTTAAAAAACATGAAATTAAAAACAGTGAAAGTGAAAAGGTTATTGTGGTGATAAAAAATGCTAGTATGTAGACCACTTTATTGTATTGACTGTTATTCATTATTCTAGCCCGTGTCTTAGTTCATAAGTATAATTTAAACATCGGCCTCTGCATAACTTGACTAGCTCTTGTTACTTTTTTTATTGATGTCGGTATTTATAATTAAGTACAATTATGAGGAAGTATAAATGTATACATATTTCAAGATTTTTTTTATTGTATTGTTTTTGTTTTCATGCCTATGATAATTAGCTTAACGTTTTTACCAAACATGTGTCAGCTCATTCAGTACATATAATGAAGACAACCGAAACAGCACGATTTGAATATAGCTATTTTATATTAATTTGCAATGATAAAACGAATTTACATCGTATTGATCACAATATACATATCAGTGTGTACTATTTCTGGACTCAAGTTAAATCCAAAGAAGATTTATGATGAAGGCAGACTAAGCTTCTCAGCTATAGGTGCAAGCTATGGATATCCCGTAGAGGAATTAGATGTAGTCACGGAAGATGGATTTATTTTGAAAATATTTCACATAGCTGGCGACAAGAGAAGACCAGTGCTTTTATTACACGGGTTCATAGACTGCGCTGACACGTTTATTATCAGAGGAAATAAGTCCTTAGCCATAACTCTCGCAAACAATGGTTACGATGTATGGGCTCTTAATGCAAGAGGAACAAGATACTCAAGAAATCACATTCACTTGAATCCTGATATTGATTTGAAATTCTGGGACTTTAGTTTCCACGAAATGGGTTATTACGATCTTCCAGCAGCGATAGATTTCGTTTTAGAAAGAACAACTGAGCGGCAGCTGAGCGCTATTGGTCACTCACAAGGCAACACACTTTTTTATGTACTGGGATCGACTAGACCTGAGTATAACGACAAGATAAAGGTAATGATAGCTCTTGCTCCAGTTTGCTTTCTGAATTACGTAAATCCGCCTGTGTCGTCCTTGATAGCTACAATACCGATTATCGGCAATGTGTTACGCAGTGTTAAAACGGAAGAATTGTTTAGTGATAACTCTTTATTAAGACATTTGTTTCAAATGTTGTGTACTCAAAGAGAAATAGGCTATCAAATTTGTGGTCATGGTTTGTTGTTTGCGCTCGGTGGTAGTGATCCAGATGAATTGGAACCTGAATTTCTACCAATTGTTGTTGCTCACTACCCCACCAGCACGTCCAGAAAGAATGGAGTCCATGTCGGCCAAGTGGGATTGACTAAAAAATTTGTCCAATTCGATTACGGCCCGTTGAAGAATGTCGCTATTTACAATGCCATTTCTCCACCAAATTATGATTTAAGAAAGGTGAAAATGAAAATAGCTCTGCTTTTGGGCAGGAATGATGGCATATCTACAATAGAGGATGCGGAACTTTTAAGAAATGAATTGTTCAATGTCGTCGACTACCTTGTATTGCCATATAAGAACCTCAATCACATTGATCTTGTATGGGGTCAGAATATGGACAAATATTTGTTTCCGTACATATTCTCTATATTGGAAACGTACAAATGATAAATATTTTATAAGTTTTATTTTATTAAATAATGTTTAATTTAAACGTATTATTTTATTTAAGTACCTACTTACTCTTTATTTAATTTGTTGATAATGTAACTTATTCTACCAGCCACACACTCGTCGAGTGGCATGGGAAGTAGCGAGGAAAGGAGCCAGAGACGTAGTGTGGCAACGATACTCGTCTTTTCCTGTTTTATCGGTTTTTTGGTCCAGTCAAAGGACTGGCAATAGTAAATAAGTATAGTAAGTAGTGGCCGGCCACGTAATCGAAGCCAGCCAGAAGTGGGATAAAGTCCCTGTTGCTGTCCACATATAACCGTTGAATAGTGTGATGGTTATTACGTTGGTGAAATACTATGATGCGCCTCGCGTTTTGTTTTTGTGTTCAATTTCTTAAATCAAGTTTGTTGTCGTATTTACGACACAGACGAATCATTAAAGTGTAGAGTAAAAGTTTAAAGTGAAATATTTTGAAGCCAAAAGTTAAATCTTTTTGTTCGATTTATAATAAAATGTACCCGCAAGTACTTTCATTATTTCTAAACGTACTCAAATATAATAACAAATGTCGAAAGAAATGTTGGAGGTACCTCTAAATGAGTTATAGTTTGCATTCAGTAAAAATTTAACTTGCTCGAGTTATGTTATAATTTGATACACGAAGAGTGATTTACTTGGGCAAGTTTTTAAGTTAAAAATTTTGAAACGATGTCCCGAAAAAAAAAGTTTAATTTTAACGTGCTATGAATTAAAAACACTAAGTAGTATTTCTGTGTTACAGTTTACTCCGAGTATTACGTAGTCGACAAAATTGGGATTTAATGTTGAGAGTTTAGTGGAATCCGTGGTGCTGTGGCGCTCGCATTTGAGTGGAAGTATGCTGTGGGCTTATGATGCCGCGGACACATTATTTGGCGCTTTTACCGATCACCATTTGATACATGAGGAAAGTGAATTTATCTTAAGGTTAACTCTTTAATTGGTTGCGAAAAATGCTGGAAAACCAAAGTATAACTGACGAAATTAAAGTAGAGCAAATTAGTTCTGACATTGAAGAGAGTATTTAAGTTTGTTAAGGATCCGACCGTACCAGAGGTTGTCGTGTAGCCGCAGCTATATATGCAGCAGCAGTATATGGTGTCCTGGAAGGGCGAATGGTGTCCCGAGAGCTGCGCTGCATTTTTTTTTAATTAAGTTCAGACTGAATCTTTTTAATGTTTTCTTTTATGTGTTACATTAACACGTGTGATATGATTACATGTGTGCGAGTGTGAGGAGAGTGTGTGCCTTGCTGGTCGTAACGGACAGCCAGGTCCAGCTGTAGCATGGCCTGGCTTTGGCAGACGCGTATGCGCAGGCGCCATCCCTGAGCGCGTATGCTGTACATGTCGGTGACTCGGAAGTCTTACACTATGTGTGCCCGGAAGGGTTATACTCTGTATGCGCGGAAGTCGTGTCCTTTGAACATGCATCAGGCTCTGTCCTGGCAGGCGCTGTCTTGCTTCACGTTTTTAACGTGGTTCACGTGGTTAACGTTGGATCTCGCAAGTTCAAGTACGAGTATGTGTGAGATACTTCGTATGGAGATGTATCCATACTTGTGAGAGCAAAGTGCTTAATTATAGTCAGCGATATGAGAGCGTATGTCTGTTTGAGGGCCTCGTATGCGTGATGGATGAGAGGATAGGCAACGGTGTATGCTGTCTTGATAATTAACAACTTGTTTTGGTACGACTTTCGAGACTTTCGGAGACACGTACTTTGTGAGATAAAAAAATATTGAAAATCAACTATTCTTGCAATATTTATGTCAATTGCTACCGTAAAACTGACGCCATTTTGTATTGTCTTTGTCAGTAGGGATGTCGATTCTTTACGAAAAGGTTCGAATTTTTAAATCGATTCCAATTGTAAGCTGATGTATCGATTCACAAAAATCGATTTCTAAATATCTATATTTTTTATGTTTGCATTTATAATGTAAATATAAATCCATTTTATGAGAAATAAATCCCCTTCATCATAAAAAAATAGGAGGACTGATTCAGAAGGATTTCTGTATCTATTTTGAGACTGCTACGTCTCCGGCGCTGCGGGAAGAGCAGCCTCTGCGCCTTTGCGTAACAAATCGCAGGCATCGTTCTTCGCCTCCGCATCGTTTTCTCAGAACTATTTCCGCATGTTGAAACTTTGCCTGTGTGCTTATAATAATGTATCCTTTCTGTAAAAAAAATATCAACCTCCAACTGGACGGAGGTCAATGGAAAGCTAAGCCACTTGTTTTTCACGCAGATCACGATGACGACAACCCCGACGATACCTGTGAACCCTCAAGTGCTTCTGCTGATCCCGTTGACGCTTCGAGTGCATGGTGCGGCACAACAACTCGCTGGTGCGAGTGCGGCACACCCTGTACTGTGTTCTTTTAGCCACGCGCGCTTGCCACATGGTAGCTAAGTATGGCGTGTGCTGGTTTGTTTTAATAGCCACGTGTGCTTGCCTTATGCCTGCCGTAACTGCAGTTTGCTATGTCAGCAATCCCAGCGGTATGCTGATGAATACTGGTGAGTCATACCCATTTTATTATGATTCTGGTGCCGAATGCTCCCTCATCAAAGATTATGTTGCGCCAAAGTTTAATGGAAAAAGCGTGAATAATATTGTAAATTTAACTGGAATCGGTCATGTTAGTGTGCAAAGTACCCCACAAATACCCCCATGATCATGTGAGGAAGATTCCCGATCACCAAGTTCCTCGAGCTTTAGATGTCATAGTTGATGACAGTGTTAGTGAGACCAAATCTGATTAAGAATGGCTTGTATACTCATACTTGAAAACCTTAGACCGCACCTCATGAGTAACATGTGGCGATAGGTCTGTAGGGAATCGTTGGTGCGATTCTGGTCTGTGTTGGTGCACAGCGGCCCTCATATGTTGTAGCATATTTGGCAGTGGATTTGTAGAGAATCGTTGGTGCGATTCTGGCATATGTGGCGGCAGATATGTAAAGAATCGTTGGTGCGATTCTGGCCTGTGTTTTTGCACAGAGCCCTTCATGTGTTGTAGCATATGTGGCGGCAGATATGTGGAGAATCGTTGGTGCGATTCTGGCATATGTGGCGGCAGATATGTAAAGAATCGTTGGTGCGATTCTGGCCTGTGTTTTTGCACAGAGCCCTTCATGTGTTGTAGCATATGTGGCGGCAGATATGTGGAGAATCGTTGGTGCGATTCTGGCATATGTGACGGCAGATATGTAAAGAATCGTTGGTTCAATTCTGGCCTGTGTTGGTGCACAGATTTCAATGAAAGTTTCACGAGTTGAATATGCATTGCTTATGAGTTAAAGAGTGACAAAATTGTTACAATTACTGTTTTGTTCAATACAGGGTTCAATTTTGGGTCCTGTTTTGTTTTGATCTATATTAATGATCTTGGTAATGCAATGCCAGACTATACATATTTAAGTCTATTTGCAGATGATACACATGTAAGTTTAAGAGACAAAAGTCTATCAAATTTAGAAAACAAAATTAATAATGTTATATGCTTGCTAAAAGAATGGTTTAGCGCAAATGGTATTATTCTAAATTCCGATAAAAGCATTGTAATGCATTATCAATCGAGGCTAGGCATTTATGGTAACTCGGCTACAAAAGAAAATGTATTTTTAGGGTATACAGTAGATAACACAATCAACCATAAAGCCCACATTGAAAAAATTTGTAAGAAAATAGCTAGCGGTAATTATGCATTGTTTAAACTCAAGCCATTATTAGATAAAAAGACACTCATATCTGTGTACTATGCCTATATTCATTCAATAATAAGGTATACCATTACTATTTGGGGTAATGTTACGGATATTATAAAAGTTTTAAAATGTCAAAAACAGTCTATAAGAATAATCAATGGTCTGAAAAAAAGTAGTCCGGCAAGAAAACATTTTAAGAACGATAAAATAATGACAGTGGTTTCGCTTTATATATATAATAGTTTATTAGAGGTACACGAGGATAAGGAAATACCAAAAAAGAAAGACGTAAATCAATACAATCTGCGTTATAATGAAAAACGTGTTCTACCAATGAATAGATTAATCAAAGTAAAAAAACAAGGGCGTTACTCAAAACTATTGATGTATAATAAATTACCAAAAAGTATAACCAGCCTAAACTATAACATATTTAAACGAAAACTTAAGTATTTTTTGAAAATAACCCAATTTACAAATTAAGCGAATACATGTCAATGCAACTCTTGGAATCATCATTCTTGTGCAAAGTGCAAACAAAATAACTTACCTAAATCTTTTACTAATTCTATTACCATTAGTACAATAATGTAATTAAATAATGTAATTTAACCTTATAAATTTAAGAACTTTTGTAACCAATGACTTGCCTGTAACGATTGTTATATTATGGCCAATAAATATTTCTGATTCTGATTCTGATTTGTACCTTGTTGATCGGACCTTACACAATAAATCATGTTGTGCAGGAAGCACTGTGTACGAATGATAACAGGGCATTGTCAATTATGAGATTTAGGAGAAATACCATTTGGAATCGACCTTGTTTCTATTGGCAGGATAGCCGTGGTAAATTAATCTCTGAGCATATTTTTGTCCAAAGACACTATAACCGAGGACGGGTGCTAGTCAGGGATGGCGGTCGTTGATGGCTCCATAGTGCAACAAACAGTGCCATCTAACAATTTGTTTTGCGAATTAATAATATGTACCTGCTAATAGTGTTTGTTACAGGAATGCATGAAAATACACGTCCGAGGACGGTCGTACGTCAGGATGGCCGTGTCGGAGCGTCTATAAAATACCCAGTTGGATCGAGGTGGAATTGAGGATATATCGAGAAACCCCCACTTGTTTGTGCAGTATAAAGTTCACTGTAGGTGCCGTGCGCGGAAGATTCCGCTTAAGTCATTCAATGAGTGTAGTCATTCTACTAGTGCTAAGATAGTGTCGTGGTTC